ATTATCAATCGCGTGTGGAGTAAAAGTTCCACCAACCCTGTTTCCAAGTGTGTGCTCATGATAAAATGCATCAATTAAGGCATTATCCATAACATTTGACCAAATACAAACAGTGTTATCTGAAAGATTTGTGTCGCTTGAGGATGCCTTTGACTTTTTCGGCATATTGATAACTACATAATTAAGAGATATTCATAAGACTTAATGAAAAATTAAGCAGACATAAAATAAAATAAATGCCCAAATGAAATAAAATAAATGCATATTACATAATACATTTTATTTAAACAATAGCCGAAATTAATTTCAAACAACATCAAATAAATAAACACGAAAAAATTTGTTGACTTTTTTTCTCCTAGAAGATTAAACTTGATAATTAGCCCACATGTCAGCTGCTATGCCATCTCTAATCAACTCCCCCTTTCTAAACTCCTCACTACTTTCCCTAGGATTTGGTGGTTCTTCATGCACATCATTATCATTCATAAGCTCCGCATCAACTTGTGCAAGTAACTCATCATTTGGATCTGCACCTCTTAAGTAGTTGTGCAAAATACAACATGAAAAAATAATAAGCTTTTGGGTTTCAACACCATATGACGGTTCAGTTGAACTAGAAATTATAGGAAATCTCTTTTTAAGAACTCCAAAAGCTCGTTCAATAGCATTACGCAAAGATGCGTGTCGCAGATTAAATAATTCACGAGGATTTCGAGGTGGATTTCTTGAATACTCTTTCAAGTGTTATCGCTCCCCACGATAAGACGTAATAAGTCCACTTCTCAACATCAATCCAACATCAACAAGGTAGTATTTTCCTAAAGATAAAAAGTAAAAACTTTAATTATTTATTCATCACATCTAACTTTCCCTATATAAATATATAAAATATTTACCTTCTGGAAGTTTTAGCGGGTCTTGTCTATTTAACGCTTCTTTCATGATTCTTGAATCAGATGCCGTCCCTTCCCAGCCAGCTAACACATATGTGAATTTTAAATCAAATGTGCATGCAGCCAATACATTTTGTATTGGATAATATTTTCTTCCACGGTATCTAGGTGCTTCACGTTATGAAACTTTAACACGTATATGTGTTCCATCAATTGCACCAATACAATCCTGACATTATTATAATAAATTATATGCAATCAACCTTGAATTTAGCTAAAAGTTCAATAAAATTGTATTTGTGTTCACCTTAAAATATGGGTAGAATCTTGGGCTGCTGGCAATTTCAGAAGGAACTTGAGAGCCATCAGGTTGTTTAATAAATTTTTCATATAACCCCAAGATCGCTCGTAGGACAATATGAAAATGACGACTAACTGACTCCCCATATCGTCGAAAGATAAAAGCTAACTCGCGATTTGTCGTATTATGCGCTAACAGGTAAAGTGTTTTTGCAACTTGCTCTTCAACTATAGCTCGAAGTGTTGGTCTAAGATCACCCTCTCTAACTAACATCTCACATAAATCGGTAAAAGCTAAAGGGGTCATTCTAATAATATTACGACAAAGTTCAGTTGAGAATAAATGACTCAATAATTCATGTCTAACTTGTTCACTTTCCAGTCGTATATCATGTGTGATCGTACGTCGGTCATTTTCAATTTCACGTACATAAGTCCAAAACCAAATAGCTACTAAGCAAGCAGCATATGTAGCTAAAGAGCTCACTTGTTCCAATATCTGTCTATTATTTTGATTATTCCGATCAGCCATCTATAATAAAATTAAGTGAGATACATTAACCAATATCATAGATGAACTAACCAGAAAAAATACTGAAAAGATTCAACAAAGTGACAGCAGTAATACCAAATAATTGACAGAAAAAACAAGCAGACAAATACACCCCATTAGCAATCTGAAGTAGTTCAACATAAAACGATATGAAAGTGATGTAAATTATACAAATACATAATGATATGAAAGTGATAACAAGCAGACAAATACATAAAGTAGTTCAATGTAAGGAAAGTGACGTAATAAGAGTAATGATGCAACAGAAATAATACTATAATTCATAGCTGTCGATATTTATATTTCATATGTTTACAAAAGTGAATTGACTACAATGACTCCACTCAACGAAAATAGATGAAAGAGAGGATACCGTCGTTGGAAAGAGACCTAATCTGTAAAAAGTTGGTTGGAAACTGGAAAGAGACGATACCGTCTGTTGACTTGCACGGCAGAAACAAGATGAGACAAAGTACTTATTCTGGTGAATATAATATAAATAATAGGGTAAAGGGTAAAATTGAAATATAGAATAATAAGTGTGGGCATAATTGGAAAGGAAAATACGAAACAATCCCACCACACGGATTTGGTTGTTTCATAAAATGGGGGTTTTCATTGTTTCGGAACAATGGATTAAACAATACGATACAATCAGTTTTATATAAACAATCAAAATAAACATTGTATGTGAGGTAACAATACAATACAGTACAACCGGAAACAACCATCCAAACACAGTGTAAATAAGGAGGGAAGTATTGTATGGGATGAACAAGGGAGATCCGAAATAGCCAAGATTTTTGTTTCCTATGGTCCTTGTTATATTTCTTCACTTCAATTCTTGTTCGTTGAGAATGGAACTTGGTATTGTCAGATAGACATGGTGCTGATCACAATTTTAACTTCACTACAGTTAAGTACCCCCTTCTCTTTCTCTTTAGTTTTAATTAGTTTGCTACTCATAATCTCTTTATAACTGTTTGCAATAAATTTTTCAAGATATGAAAAATAAATTACAATTACAAAATAAGAGAAAAATATTTTTTCTAATCAATTGTGAGTAGAATTCTGTTTCTCCCTTGATTCTTATCTCCTCTTGATTATCTCAGCGATTCGACGCTGAAACAACGTATTTTCCGAATGTAGGATGATGCAGACCTCTTGGGGATGTATTTGATCTCCAGTTTTTTGAACTATTTGATTGTCAAGAAGTATACAACCATACTTTGATCTCTTTGTGAATATGCAAAGAGTTTATGGGATTTTTTGAGATGCCTCTTCAAGAGAATATGTATCGCTTTATATAGGTGGGCGTTAGGGTTTAGGGTAGAGTAACCTCCAAGAAATCCTGTAGGATTTCAAGAGCCTGGTAGTATCTTGAATTTAGGTTTTAACATCCGTTAAAATTTCAATGTCTACAATAATATCAGCGGAGACAAAAACATTAGGTGATTTCTTCTCATCTATCTAAGCTTAGGTTGATAGAGTTACCTGGTACATGTTGCTGGTTACAGGTAAAATATTAGGCTTTAGAGGTATATAACATATATTGAACACCCTTTATCAGGATTTTTTTTTCCACTTCTTTCAAGTTTGAACACTCTTATGAAAATTTCTAGCTTTGCCACTAATAACATGTATCTCATGAAATTAGCGCAAGTTAACCCGTACACTACATTTATAAACAAAAAGCTCTTTATAACAATGGATACGAATTCTCTTGTTGTGTGTGTATATATGCATATAATGTGGTACCTATAGGTAAACTACTAAAATTAAGTACTAACAAAGTTTCATTGTTCTTATATAACGAAGATTGTGTTGAATTATCCATCAGAATATGTTACTTGGATAAAAGGCTCCTACTATACAACTTATTTGAGATCAATAATATTTGGCACCAACAAAGGTTCCAATGGACCATATGGCTGCACTGTGGCCAATCCATCACACCTTTATGCAGAGTTCAATTTTCAATTAGGAGATGATCGTTCTTTTGGTTGATTTAGTAATTGCATGACTGTTTTTGTCTCCATAATCAAAACACAAATCAAATATATTTCTTGTAGTCCAAGTTTTTGAGTTTACGTTTGTTTAGCCATAAGATGGTACAATTGAATATATACGTGGTTTTTAGACAAGTGAATTAATTTAATCCTAGAATAATAGATGAATTAGATAAAAATATATAATACTTAGTGTGAGCACGTAATTTTTTCCCTATATGAATTACTCTCATAGTTTCAAAACAAAATAATTTCTTTTTATTATTTGCAACTTTATGGATTTTCGGGGCATTTTCTGTTGATTGTTTGCATTTGTCTGTGCATTTTTATTTTTGTTTAATTAATGAAAAATACAAAAAAAGGTGTTGCATGTGCATTTAGGAGTTAATTTTGCAATTTTAAAATTGTTTAGTAATTAAGTTGTTTTAAATAAAAGAAAATCACCAAAAATAGGTTAATTTGCATTTTTCATTCTAAATTTCAATTTGGAGTAATTTTCCTTTTAATTGTTTGGTTAATTAATTTTGATAATTATCATTTAGGCTTAATTAGTGTATTTAGGTCAATTAGGTTCTAGGAATTAATTTAGATTTTTATTATTATTTTGGAAAAAAAAAGGAATTAATTTTGGAAAAAGGAAAAGATTTTGAAAAGAAAAGAGAGATCAGATTTTATATTTGGGCCAAAGTTAATTAAAATTGTCAAGCCCAAATCAAACTCAGCCAAACCCACCCAAAACCCGTCCAATAAATTCCCACAACCCGGCCCAGACTACCCCTGAACCGGTCCAGATCCCTCCCATCCAAAATGACCCCGTTTAATTGAGAAATGATCCTAGCCGTCGAGGTTCTCTCATCCAACGGCTGGGAAGCTGGGGGTCAATAATATAAATATGTCCAAACGCCCCCTACCCCCTTAGCCTCGTCTCTCACCTCCAAACCCTAGAGAACCAAAACCCTAGCCGCCCTATTTTTTCCCACCGTCTCTGCCGTCCGCTGCCCGCCGAAAATCGCCCCACGGCGGCGGCAAGTCTCCGATGGCCTTCAAATTTGCACCACAACTTCATCTCCCCTCCCTCTCCCCTAATCCACAAATGGTTCTCTCAGAATCCTCCCCGAACGCCTCAAATCTTGAATCGAAGATGAACCCTAATTCCTCAAAAACTCAAATCGTGCGAGTTATTGAAGATTGAGGCCAAAATTGATCTTATTCATGTGTTTTCACTTGAAAACACAAGATTAAGACCCATTTCGTTCAAAATCTGAGGCTCAAGGAATAACTTCAAGGCTTGCCTGTCCGATTTTAGGTATTTCCAGTTTCTTTTCCTTTTCCTGCATTTCTTCTTCTTTTTAGTTCAAATTCACTTTCATCTCTTCTCCGTCCCCTCTCTTTGTTGCTTCGTTATGTGTTAATTTCCCTTGTTTATTCTATTTTTTGGCATGATTAGCTTAACCACAAATTTAGCCTAATTAGTTTTGATAATCGGTTCATTTCTCTTTCTGTTGTGGAATTTGACTCAGTAGAGTTAGTCTTTTGTTTTTGTTTGGTTTGATCTGTTTATTAATTCTCAGGGTTAGATTAATTTAATCGGGTTCTTGATTTCTATTACTTAGTGGTGGTTTTATTTAATTTGTGTAATCAGGCTCACTTCTTTAGGATTCGAGTGGTTAAACTTTTGTGTGTTTTTCTTATTAATGTGTGATTTGAGTTTGTTTCACTGTAGTGGGTTAAGACTTCTTTCTTGGGGTTTGGGGTAAGGTAGACCTAGGCATTAGAGGCCCATCCGTTCAGGACCAGGTTTGGAATCCGGCTAGGCCATTGAACCAGCCTGACCCAAGTAAGAGGAGGGTAATTTCAGGGAACTTGGGGGGTAATTTAGGAAGTTTAGGATAGGGGAATCTTGGGTAACTAATTTAGAAGTCTCTAGTAGGGTCTTCTAGGGAAGTTTAGACTTTAACTTGGTTAGCAAGTCAAAAAATCAGGGGCTAAGTAGCAAAAAGGAAAGTTAGGAGATGTCTAAAATGCAAAACCTAGCATATATTGGCTGCCCTAGTAACTTGCCTATAAAGGCATAGTTACTTGAGGCTAAAAAAAAAAAGGAAAATCCAAGAGCTAAGAAACCTAAGGGAGAAAAATACAGAAAAAGAAAAGCTGCTACTGTTCCATTGAGACTCGGTTTTATACTTCGAAATTTTCACTCTCTGAATCATTTTTTGTCCTTAAGGTCAGATCTTTTAGTCAGTAAGGTCAGATCTTGGTGTTTTTCGAGTTGGCTATGTGTTTGAAGCTGGTGTTAGCTTGCTGAATTGCATTTTATTGGGTTTTGAACTGTGAAGTTACTGTTCCATTGGATTTGGAACTAATTTTGTGGTTTCATCACTGAATCTGGGATGTTTTGTTGCTGCTGTCAATCTCTGCTAAAATACAAACTGCTGATCCTTCTTTATATACTTGTTCCTTCAATTTCAGGTACTCATCTCACCTTCCAATGTATGAAAATGGATGAATATGAAGATTGGTTAACTTGAATAGATATTTATACTAATATAGTTGTTATTCAATGTTTTTGCACCTTCGAAATTGTTTAGCTTAGCTTAATTTTCTTATACTCCTTTCTGTTTGTTCTGAATATGGACTACTGTAGTAATATAAGCTTGGTAGTTCACTGTGGGGGGTATCAAATGTGCATGAAAGGTCTTGTTATGTAGGCCAGCTTTTGTATTCGTATTGTTGAAATGAGTATGTTTAAAGTTAAGCTATCAATGTTACTATGTAGTTAAGTGTTTCAATGTTTATTTTTTTTATAGTTTTAATATGTGAGTAAGCATCATGAGAATGTGTTAGATTAGGATTAGGATAAAGTTGAACTGTTTGTTTTGGAAATGAAGGTTCAGAAGACGAGTGCGTTTCATTTAGTCTCTACAACATCTCATTAATTAGTTTATCAGTGTGTGTTTAGCATGAATATGA